GCCCGCGGGGGCCGCCCCGTGTTTCCCCCGCTGCCGCGCCGGGCCGCAGAGGTCACCCCCGCACCCCCCCGGGCACCCCGGGGTGCCCCCAGCTGCCCCCAGAGCCGGGTTGTCTCAGGGGCGCCTCCTTCCTTGTCATTTCATCCCCTCCCCGATGTCTTTCTCGCCCTTGGGCATCTCCCCGTGCCCCTCCTGCCCCCCGGCTCGTGCCCCCAAGCTGTGCCCGGGTGAGGACGGGCCGCGAGCCACCCACCTCTTTTCCTCAGTCCTTATATTTGAAAGCTTCTCTAACTTTACCCCTTCTTACATTGGTCGCCCCCCCCTCCCCGAAACAAGGAGCTCACCCTGAGAAAGCCTCGCCTCTCGCATCATTGTGGACCACGCGCTCGGCCGGTATCACGGCGTTGCCTCGTTTTTGACCGTGGTTGTGGTTGGCGTGTCTGACGTCCGTCCTTTTTTTTGTCGTTAAAGAGATGTCTGCGCCGTGGGTGGCAGGCGCGCGCGTCGTGAAATGCGGCGTTAAAAGTGAAGGAGGCTTGCCTCGTTGTAATTAAGGTCTAAGCAGGTAAATGTACGTCCCGACCCTCCAGGAAAATCCCAAGAAAATCAAGTGTCCAGGCTGGTCTAGAGGAAAAAGCAATTGGTCTAATAAAAGATATCGCCTCTATTATGAACCCCAGCAAGGTCTCTTGACTCCTCTTGTGACATCCTATGAAATATGAACTTTCATTTCTACCCGGGAAGACTTTTACAATCTGATGCACCGATGAAGGGTGTTTGTGCCTGAAAGCTTGCAATTTAAATAATTATTTATTTATTTATTTTTGCAAAAATCGTGTTGGTCTAATAAAAGAGATCGCCTCTATTATGAGCCCCGAGTACATCAAGAGGCTTTGCACTGTGCTTAAGGGAAAAAAATCGAGTTCTTTTGGGCCTGGGAAAAGTCCTGAAAAAACCTTGCTGCTGTCGTCACTCTGTTTTCAAATCAAGGGCTTAGGGATTGTCTTTTATTGCAGAGTTAAACTGAGTGATATCATGGATGCCGGTCTAACTCGAGGCCCTTCTGCACACACAAGCTTTCACCTTGAGTGTGATGGTACTTTTAAATCAAATTGGCTGGCCTGCCAGGGCTGTGTGCTACAGCGTAAGTTAGCCCAACACCCTCAGTTAATAGTGCAACCACTGCACTGTGGGAGCTGGGTTAACTGGAGAGGCATTCAGGCTGGAGCATGGGGACCTGATTGAGGTGGTCTGTACCCATCCCCTGTGGCGTCCCAAGGTGCAGGTGAGCAAACTGGTGACCACAGGGGAAAGCAGAGACAAGGTCATCCGAATGTATCCTATGCTGTAAACTTCCTAAGGAGAAAATGGGCAAAGCTACATGCTGAGGGTGACCTTACTCTTCAGTGTCTTCCTCAAACCATCTGGCTCCCCTTCCAACGAACTAACAGACCCCAGCAAAGCTAGGAACAGAACGCAAGACTCGTGGGTCTCCATCCACTGCTTGTCTCTGTTCACAATTCAAACTCTTGAGACAGCCAATCCAGCAGGCCTCCTTTTCTGCCTAAAGAGAGTTTCTTTCCCTCCAGAGTCGTCCTGAGGCCCAGGTAGTAGAAATCAGAGGGAGGATGAGCTGGAACCCCCATGGCCTACTCCTACTGTACACAGACAAAACAGCCAGCCCCAGATAAAACAAAATCAGTCCTCCCCACTCAAAAGGTTCCTCTTCGTTGCACAGTTTAACTCAGCACTTAAATTCCCCTTCTCTTTCCTATAATGACCACTCACAGTTGCTCACTCACTGTTTGATAATTCATAGTCTTTCTTCCTGAGCTGCAAGGGGCCCAAAAATAATAGCTTTTTGCTGTAAATACTGTACTCAAAAAACCCAAGCCACAATACAAGGGTAGAGGCCAGTGAAAAATGAAAGTCTAGCAAAAAAGTTCTAACAACAAGGCATGATAATAGTATGCAGGGCTAAAATACAGTTTTTCCACCCAAACTTCCCAATGTCCCTGGGGGATCTCACGGGAATTTAGTCTGTCAGGCTGAGCTGTATGGGGCATGTTTAAGGGTTCTCTGGAATTCACTGTGGTTAAGCTGTAGTCTTTGAAAACTAAATAGCATTTGCATGTACAGTTGTTTTTCCAGGGTTACTTTGTGGTGTGAGAGAACAGTGGATTATACAATACGAAAAAAAGATTCTGAATTTCTGATTTGTATGGAGTATCAACTTGACTGGAGAATACTTTAGCAGATGACTCAAGTGTTCAATGAAGACTAAATTGGGTTTCTTCTCTAATTAAAAATAATAATGCACAGAGATATGGGTAGAACACTGTTGTACAACTGGTTGAATGGTTATTTCCAAAAGTAAGGGCAGATTCTCTCCTACCTTCTCAGATATCATCACATTTGGCTTAAACGATATATGCAACAATGCTAACGTTGGTTCTTTTAATTACTTTAACGCATTTTTATTGTATAGGTTATTCAGTGTCTGAGAAGAAAAAGGAGTTAAATTTCATGTTCGCTTTTTCCTTATACCCAGACTTTACGGGCCGTAGCTTTCAGCTTGCCCCGTGTTTTCTGTTTCCTCCATGTTCTGTGCAATTTAGCATTTGAGAGCTCAGACCCTGCCCTCATATGTTTAGCTTCACTCCTTTTAATGAGCCTTGTACATGTGCCACCAAAGGCGGTATTTGACCTGCTGCTGTCAGAGGCTCTGCATTTAAATTAGATCAAGTTGCTTGGTAATCCAAGTTTACTGTTGATTTCAATGTGCTAAAAACTGCAAAAAATGTTTAGGTCCATTTGCTTTTCTTTTTTCCTCCCTGTAACACAAACCTATTTACATGATGTGCTCAGTGTAGCAAGAGCCAGCAAATTGTTGTCAGCTATTGTAGCTGACAGTCTTGATCTCACCAGCGCCGGGTTTCTTAAGAACTTCAGGCACACTTCTAGAATTTGTGCTATTCAGCTACTGACCTTTTCCAGCTTAAATTTATTACCCAGTGGCTAGAAAAAACCACAGATGATTCTGCTATGAAAAACATATTGTAATTAGGGGAAAATTAACAGGTACTTTATTTGTATAGCCACTTTTAAAGAAGCTTTTTAAAAAAATTGGCAATAACTTTGAGATATAGTTTGTAATATTGATGCAGTGATGATATTTTTACAAAATCATCATCACTCTAGTTTTCAAGTGCTCTTATTAGCTCCATGTATTTTCCTCATGTAAAGTCAGGACTTCATCTCTAGCCTGTCATGCATCTAGGTCTGAAGCATGTCATGTTGGGCTGCTCTCAGCGTTGGAGATTGACTAGTTAAATTAATTTTTCTTCTTGTGAAATGCTCTCTGTTTGAAAGGGTAGTTTCTAATACATGAATCGGAGGCATGAGTTTTTTTTGCAGAGAATTGTAAAACCGAAATGGAACTGGGCTGTTTTAAAGAGCGTTGCTCTGCATATGATCAAATTCAATTTTGTAAACTAATTTTGCAGTGTGATTAGATTTAAACTTGATTACATTAGGACACTCCAGATTGAGTTTGTGCTTTATTAGAGGTAGTCTTTTTCTTTGGATCTTATTCAAGTGCTTTGTATTCTTGTTGAGTTCTGCAATGCAGTTGGTTCAGGCTACTGTTTATATCTGTTCCAGTTGTGCAAGAAGTGGAAAATATCCTTTATTTAGAACAGGTCACATGTACTTACATCCAGGAACAGTCTCAGTGTAAAAAATGTATCTTAGAGGAACACACTAAAAATCTGGAAGAGTGCTGCTTGTGTGTTAGGGAAGGAGAAATGTTGCTTGAAGAAAAAGCAAGCATAGTACCCAAGCCGAACAGTATGCAGGCTGCATTGGTATGAATCTGAAGCCTGCTTTTGAGGCCAGTGGGAACAGAGTTGGACCGATGCTGTGTCCCTTTGAAAACCTTTCTGTCAATGAGTAAATCATCTGTACCTCCAGTTCACATGGCTGCAAAGAGAATCCTAACCACAGGGGATAGCAAATTAAGGCACTTTATTTTCTGGACAGCCAGCCAAAATAAATTTGCCAGTATTGGCATGTGTGATTGCAAAGGGGGTAGCTTGTATATAGAAGGCAAGGAAAAGGTAAGAAACCATCTCTCTCTCTCTCTCTTT